ACAATTTCTCCAGTTCCCCCAGTGATGTCCTTTATAGCGTACTTTGTCCTAACCCAACACCCAGTCAAGGGCCATGCATTGTGTTTGGCTGTCATTTCTCCTTAGATTCCTTTCATCGAGAACAGTTCTGTGGTCTCGTGTTTCTTCTCTATCTCTTTGTTTTTTAGTCTTTCATGACATCGATATTTGGGGAGTCCAAATTAGTTATTGTGTAGACTGCCCCTCCATTTAGATTTGTTTGCTTGTCTCTTTAGATTAAACATTTTTGGCTGGAGCTATCATACAGAGGATCTTGTTTCCTTATCATCCTCTTTTTTCACATATGTGATAGTATACGATTCTGTTCTCTCTCTCTGGCTTTTTCATTTTATGATGTGTTTTGCAGATCTCTCCATATTAGTAAACAGTGAACTTCCTTCTTTTTTTAACCTGCCCTTCATTTTATGAACGTACTACAAGTGTTATTTACTTCCCCAATCCCCATTGATAAACATTTTGGCGGTTTCTAGTCTTTTGCTATACAGACACTGACAAAGTGGCCAGCCGTGTGCTTTTGTCATTTCACACATGTGGGCATTTATAGAAATTCCTAGAAGTGGGGCTGCTGGGCTTTAGTTCATGTGCACTTGTGACATGGTGAGTGTTCCCCTACTTCCCTCCATGGAGCTTGTACCAGCTCACACCAACCCACCAGCGTGTGCGTCCCCACAGTTTATTGTATCCAAGTTCAGAATTTTTCCTGGAAAAGTGACATCTGTTGTGTTCTCGTTTGCATTTCTCTTGCTGTTGAGGATGACTATCCCTTACAACAGCCATTGACATTTCCTTTTCTGGTCGTACCACTTGCCCGTTTTTCTGTTGGTTTGTTCGTTTTTTCCAGGTGATTTTTCTTCTATTTTTCTATTCAATTCCCTCCTCATAACATTGCCCTGGCCCCAGATTCCAACTTCCTTGGTGACCTTTCACACACCCCCTGCTGTGGAATGCTTTTCAAATCTCCTATAGGAATAAAAGAATTCGGGATCATTGAATTTCATCATTCTCATCTTGACTGTATGTATTAAAAAACAATTAACAAAGTAGATTGTCAGGCATGAAATGAAACTCAGACATTTGCTGACCAAGTCCCATGACTCATCTCATTCAAGAGCAGAAATACCTAATCCTTCTAAAAAACTCTAGATTGCGTGGTCCTGATTTAGTAATGGGCTTAAGCAGGAAGAGAAGTAATAACAAATGAATAAGCACTTGGAGTGAACAGGCGTTGCTGCAGGAGGCTCTTCTCGGGTCCTCCCCCAGAGACCCTGCTCTAGTTAGGGTGCATTTGATTAGGAGTGAAACCTACTCAGATTAGCTGAAGCAAGAAGGTGCAATTAACCTGGGGCCATCGGAATGTCCCCAGGTCTCTAGGGACAGGAGCACAGCTGACTTCAGGACTGTCTGGAACCAAGAGTGAGGTGCTGACGGACACATCTGTCTGCCAGCTCATGCGGTTCTGTGGTCCTTCTGCGGCAGTGATCTCTCTCTCTGTCCCGTTCTGTCCACAAGGCAGAATCTCTAGGAATTCACTTACTCTCGTTTCAACCCCCACTCAGAAATGACCTGTCCCTCCTCCTCTGTCCCAAGTGCTGCTCAGGCCAAGTGCCCACATGTGCAGCAGTCAGTGCTGCCCAGGGAGGTGGGAGGAGCCCTAGAAAAGGGACATTGGGCGGATGTTGTGTGACATTAGTCCATTAGCAGTTCCACTGGTAAAGAAAGGGGGAGAATGTCACGTGAACTAGATCTCGCAGAGCCATGAGTGGGATCCGGTAAACCCACACATGACAAAGGCCATGTTCTTAGGGTTATGATAAAATAGAGAACCTAACACAGTGACAGTATGTCCCCAACAAGTCGCATCTAGAACGCTCTAACTTTACATCAGTCCCTTAATACATTAAACTCTTGGCTCTTCACGAAAAGGGCTCATTTCTCACCTTAGGGGTAACTTTTCTTTAGAACCTTACTGTATACAATTACGGTGAATGAAGAAACTTGGAAGGAATGACAGATAATGAAGTGACAGCTCTGAACACAAAGAATTGCCCTGCAGGAGTAGTGGGAGGTAGAAAAACCATTTAGAATCGGGAAGAGGTGCAAGGCTGCCACAGCGGAGATGGGACATTTCCGAGTTTGCCTCTTAAGTCTCCTCTTCGTGTTGCATTTCCACCCGCTTAGCTGCAACCTGAGACAGAGCACGTTTGACTCATTGCATTCTTGGGAATCAGTGGAAGTTTAATTCATGGTCATGGTGGGCTGCATCTGTCCTTCTGTCAAAACAAGGGGCACGGTCCCATGACTGAGCTGAAGTCATTGCTCCCAGGGTCCAGGACCTCTGAGCGTGTTCATGAAAAAAGTTCTTCCCCAAAGCAACAGCCTAGAAACGACATGCTCAGTGTGTCTTGATTGTATTCAGGAACCTGGCTGAGTTGCCAGCTAGCTGCTTGTGTGTGCTAATATGATCTCTGTGAAGTCTATTACTGTGTTAAAAAATAAGTGCTGGGTGATTGGACTTAATGGGCAGAGAGCTGAGGGATGTCTCTGCAGATGCTGCGTGTGCAACAAACGCCATCAGACATACGGGATTTCACAGCACTGTTCTCTAGGGAGGAGGCTGGGTGGCAGGGAAGGAAACATTTCGATTCTCTGTCCTAGTCTTTTTGACTACACAAGCATTATTTTTTTAATGTTATTTTCAAAAGAATCACCAAACACAAAGGAACCAATCGTGCTTTTATTCTTCATAAAGCTGACAAAGTCAAGACAAATTCGTTTGATGATATATACTATTCGTCTCATATGCATATGCATACTCATGTTCCATACTATTTTCAATCTTACATAACTTTTTTTAGATCTTACTGTGTAAGTTGCTTGTAAAGCCGACTTATTTGAAAATCATATCTCCACATACAGCAAAGCGATGTCAGCCAGCCTGTGGGGATCTTGGAATCAATGCTGACTGAAAGCAGGGCGGGAGGAAGAGTGTATTGTGCTTAAGTGTCCACGGACCCTGAGCAGGAAACATACCTTGAGGAATGTCTAGGTATCAGAACAAAGGAACCTTGTAGACAGATTCAGATGGAAATACTGCCATTCGGCAAAGCTGAGCTCGTGTCCTTAATCCTGGAGCCTCCTAAGACCAGTTCTAATGGTCTTGTCTTCTCCCTGCCGCCTTGAACTTTTCTCACACTTATCTGTGCCATTAATGTGGGACTTTGATAACTTGAAAATTGAGCATACAGTGCACCTAGCACCCAGACCCAAGTTTTATTGGTTTCCTCCAATATAAGGAACCAGGGCTGAATCTAGGACTAGGGCAGGACGGTGAGCCCAGAGAATCTGTAGTGCCAGGAAGTAAGGAAGTGCTCACAAAACCCACAATGACCCGGTGTGTCAAAGGGACACAGGAGCCAGCCCACAGAGCTCCCAGTGGCTGAAGCTAGAATAGTTGGAGCAACAAAATAAGTAAAGTAGTATTGGATTATACCCCAAAGTAGAAAATAAATATCCATAGTTCCGTAGTGATACAATCTATGATTGAATAAATACGAGATTGGACAATTAAGTTGGCGAACTCTTCCTAGAAAAAGTGCTACATACCTCATTGCTGAATATCACTATGGTCACCTTCAAAGTACTCCCCTTGGGAAGCTATGCACCAACGCCAGCGCCTAGTCCACCCTTCAAAGCAATTTTGGAACTCTTTTTCTGGAAAGGCCATCAGAGCTGTTGTCATATTACCCTTGATGTCCTGAATGTCATCAAAATGTCTTCCTTTCAATATTTCCTTTATCTTCGGGTAAAGAAAGAAGTCATTTGGGGCCAGATCAGGTGAGTAGGGAGGGTGTTCCAATATAGTTGTTTGTTTCCTGGCTCAAAACTCCCTCACAGACAGTGCCGTGTGAGCTGGTGCATTGTTGTGATGCAAGAGCCATGAATTGTTGGTGAAAAGTTCAGGTTGTCTAACTTTTTTATGCAGCCTTTTCAGCACTTTCAAATAGTAAACTTGGTTAACTGTCCAGTTGGTACAAATTCATAATGAATAATCCCTCTGATATCAAAAAAGGTTAGCAACTTTATTGCAACAAGTTCAGGAACATAATTGTCAGACCTCGCAAATAATGGTGGTGAAGAGGCAAGTCTCCCGTTCTGAAGAATTCCAAATAATTTATGGAGATACTCCATGTTCAGGGAGGTAAGACGTTACTCTGCTCCTCTGTGCGTAGTGACTTCCTTCCAAACAGTACAGGATGGAAAGCGGGGGTGGGGAGGAACATCACAGTGGAGACACCCAACAAACATGACCTCAGCATCAGAGATAAGTCATGTTGAGGGCACGGACTCCTGATACAATGTGATGAGAAGGGCTTAATAGACTTCCTTAAAACTGGAGACCCATCAAAAACAGAAGAGTCTGAGACACGGTTCAGCCCAGAGGAGCCTAAGGAGACGGGATACCCAGACATCACATGGGTCCTGATGAGATCCTGGGTCAGGAAGAGGGCGTTGGGGCGGAACTGAGGAAATGTGACTAAAGACTTTGGCTCCTATAAAGTATTGATATTTTCTCATTAACTCCGAGAACTGTACCACTCTGACGTACTATCTAATAATAGGAGAAACTAGGTGGGGTTATGGGACTTCTTGGAACTGTCTTCACAACTTTTCCATAAATCCGAATCTGTTCTAAAATTAAAAGTTTGTTTTAAAAACTGAACATGTGATGGTTATTATCTCCAGGGAACAAGAATGGGAGCGGGCACATACGAGTAGAAGAGTTTCTGGTTTCTCCATTGAACACTTTTGAACTGTTTGGATTTTTCACAGTGCTCCATGTAGTAGTTTCACTTAAAAAGAAAAAAGATGCATAAGTATATGTCCTATTTCACAGTGTAACTTGCTTTCCACCAGTCACTTAGTAAGAATGTTTCCTCCACACATGATATTGCGTTTTCCAGCTTGGTGTCCTGCTCTTGTGGAGGTTGGACCAAAGGGGCCGAGTACAGGGCACACCCCTGCTGAAACACGAGTACCGAAAATGCCTGACTCACTGCATCTTCCGGCTGCCCCCTCCTGGCGAGTAAGTGTGAGCTCCCGGAGTGGCCTTTGTGTTTACATCCTTGTGGGGTTTTGGTCAGGGACTGTGGTATGACTCTTCCTGACCCTGGAGGGGTCACAGCAGTGAGTCACTCTCCATGCGTCTATAGTGACAGCTCCTTCTTATGAAGAGCAGCAAGAAATCCTGACTTCTGGTGTCATTTGCTTGCAGGGACCTCGTGCAGTTGGCGAAGGCAGCTGTGAGCGGTGATGAGAAAGCCTTGGACATGTTTAACTGGAGGAAAAGTGGCTTCGGAAGTTTCTTGAAAATGGGATCTCAAGAGGGACTGTCATTCTTTGTCAGCTTGATGGATGGTGAGAAACTAACATTGGGATTCTAGGACAGAGGCATTTTAAGGGCATCTGATAAAGATTTTAAACGAATAGTGTTTCTGCATAAAGTTGGCTGTATGCATGCCAATCTCAGCTTTTTGCAGTTATTTATCCACGCAAAGAATGGCTTCACCTGGTTCAGATTAGAGAAAAGTTGAGCTTTATTTGTGTTTGAAGGGTTTTCATGAGGAAGCCATCGATCAGAAGGTCCATCCTGACTGCTTGCTGTGTGTGCATCCGCAGACAGATACAGTCTTGCAAAGAGGCTTTTCTTGCACTCTTGTTATTCAGTCTGTAATTATGAAGCACCCTTTCCATTGCCAGGCACTAGGCTAAGCTCTGGGAATGGAGAGTGAACAGGACGGAGTGGGTTTTGCTTCCAGCCTGCAACCACCAACCAGTCCTTGTCAGTGGTCCACGTTGAATGCCATCTGTCTTGATTTTAACACAACTCCTCCTCAGTGTAAATAGTGAGACAGTCTGTCCCCATGGCAGCTGATAAATGCAATGTGAAGTTAAGAGAAAAAAAGAGTCTTACGTTCACATGAGGCATTCACACGTGTGGGTCTGCTGGGGGAAAGAGGCCAAGAAAGTGAGGCTGGCACAAAGGTGATGAGGTTCGAGGAGGCTGTGTCACCATGATGGGAAGAAGAGAACAGATGATAGCTGCAAGGGGCTGGGGGCATTTGAGACACCTTTCATTTCAGCGGGTGAAGAGACAGCCGAGGGAATTCGGGGAGGTGCCCCAGATGGGCAACGGGGGTGCAGGGAAGGGAGACGCTAGTGCTAGGGCCCCTTAGGAAGAGTGGAGGAGATGGTGTGGGAAAGAGACGCGCGAAGGAGATGTTGGCAGCTGGAGGAGAGGTGTGCTGTGAGTGTCAGTCCTGCCTTGCTCGCGGTAGCTGTGGGCTTTGGAGCCAAATGGTCCCATGTCTAGATGCCTCAGCTTCCTAATGTGTAAAACAGGGAAAGTAAGAGTACCCACAAGAGCTCGCTGGAAACGTCAGTGGAGTTAACACATGTACGTGCCTAGGACTGAGCCTGCCACAGCAGGTGCTTAGCAGGTGCTCCTCATGGCTCCAGTTAGCCTCTAGAGAACCCTGAACTTTTCAGTTTCATAAGCACTCCTGTTATCCATTGGGAATAAGATGAGAGGAGACCAGGAGGGTGAGGAGGCTCTGGAGAGCAGCAGCAATGAACCAAATTCCTGAGAATCTGGCAGGAGGGTCCAGCCACCAAGCCCAGAAGCCTGAGAGAGAAGCCAAGAGGTGGGCGAGGGGCTGGCAGGAGGAGGTGTTCCAGGCTGGAGAGGCCCTGCGGCTTAGACAAAGCAAGATGGCCGACCAGCCATGCACAGGACACAGGTGACAGGACCTGGTGGCCACGGGAGGTGGTAACCCAGGGCCTCAGGGCATGAATGACACTCGTCAGGGGACCAAGATGAACAGAATTTCGAGGCTGCAGTCAGGCGGGACGTCATTATGGACGTTAGAGTCCTCTGATGTTTGTGGTGGTGAAGGAAGGATTGGCTGAGGCAGCAGGAGTCAAGGCCGAACTAACCCGACACAACGGAGCTGATTTCAGGGATGGCAGCCTGTGAGGTCATGCACGTGTACAGATGCTTTTTAATGTTTTCCTTGCAAATTTTTACAATGAAGATGTTTAGTTTTAAAGAGCTAAAGAGATAGACCTGGCTGCTGGTGATTGCCAAGCTGCCTGGTGACTGCCCCCTTTGTCCTCAGGGACAGTGCACTACGTGGACGAGAAAGGCAGGACCACCCAGGCAGCGTCCACGGACAGCTCCATCCAAACACTGTTCTATATCCAGAAGAGGGAGGCGCTGGTGGTGGTCACGGAGAACCTGCTGCTGTCCCTGTATTTGGTGACTCCCCAGGGGGAGGCAGAAGAAGTGATGAAGGTGGGTGGGGGAGGGGCCTTGGTTGGGAGGGCGGGGGGAGGGCAGTGTTCCTGCCCGGTCCTCCTGTCCTCATCTGACCACCCTTCCCAGTTCCTTAGCAAACCTGTTCCAAGGCCACTAAACAGAACTGTTTAGTACCATTATTTATTATATGGCATTCAGCTCACAGGTGAGGGAAACTGTGAATGAAGGAGATTTTTGGGTGTCAGCAGACAGACAGGTTGAGAGTCTGGGCTGCTCAGGTCTGTGCCCCCTTCTCCCCCTCTCCCTGCCCCCCCACAATTGGTAACTTGCAGCCTACAGACCTGGGTGTGACAGAATAACTGTCACCTTGAAGCAGCCCATTCGACCTCCTCAGTGGAACCATGTGAGGAGGGACATCAACCTGTTTCCCACCCATGTGCAGACAAGGCACAGAGGGGGCTCACTGACCATGCGCATTGTCACAGCTGCCCCTCAGCCACACGTGCATCTCTTTCACCCAAGGAGTGTGTGTGACAGCCACTGTCCTTGGGTAGAGGATGTTTCACTGTGGCCACTGAAAAACAGCTCGACATCCTTGAAGGCGCCTCATGGCATCAGCCCCGGCCATCACCACCTGGAGGACGCTGTGAAGGGACGGGTGCAGCGTGTCCCCATGTCAGGTGCCCTCCTGCTGGTTCCCCAAGGAACACTGGACTTCCCCTAAAAATGCTCAAGTAGATTATGGAGGGGTTGATTTTTTATAAGTCAGTGTTTATCCTGTTGTTTATCCCCTAGCAGTTGTAAACATGGTCACTGAATCACGTGGACTTGGGTTCAGATCCCCCCTGAGCCACTCACTGACCAGTGGGCCCTGGGCAGGTTTGTTCCCTGCAAAATGGGGTGTGACACCTGCCTTGGAGGGGGCAGTTGTGCCTGAATGTGGCTCAGCTTGGTAGTCACTCTAGAAATGTGCTGGCTATGCACCAGGCCCTGGGCAGCGGCCATTATTAACTGTTTAATGTGCAAGTGTTGTTGTGGGCTTTGGCCTGTGCATCCTGGAAAGTTGGGGGTGCCTGTCCAGGTGCCCGTATTCACCCTGCCCCTCCTCCATGGGTGAGTCTCCTGAAAGTCACTGCAGACCAGAGACTCAGGCTCATGAGCAGGGACACGCTGTCTCATCAAGGTGACATGCTTCTTTGGGGATGTTTCTCGTTATACAGGTAAAGTTGAGTGGGAAGATGGGTCATCGGGCAGACATTGCCTTAATTGAAGGCAGCCTCCTGGTGACCGCCATCGGGGAAGCAGCCCTCAGGTGAGACGATGCTCCTGTTCGTGTGTGATGGAAAGTCAGTCTCTTCTGAGCACACTTTTTATTGGGTGTAACATACAGACAAAAAATACCCAAATTATAAGAATTTTCACAGCTGGGACACACCTCTGAGATCAAAGAACAAAACATACCAGAGACCTCAGGTGTCCCCGCTTCCCCCACAAGGGTGGCTCTCCCGATGTCTGCCTGTGGAGTTCCTCCGCCTGTTTTTTCTGAGCCGGTTATGGACAGAACCATGTGTGACGTTCTCTGGCGTCTGGCTGCTATAGCTGCACATGGTACCGGGCCTTCTCCGGTTGCAGATCCTTCGTTCTCATTGTGACCTAGTGTCACATGTGAACCCTCTTGTATTAATAGCTGCTTCCTTTGATTATGAACAGGTCACAAAACAGCTCTAAATGTAACACCCGCCTGCTCTTCATATCAATGTCTAAACGACCATGACTTCTTCCTGACTTTTCCAGTTCACTCTGCAAGTCGGTCAGGCCGCTCAGAGTTGACGGCAGCGCACTGACAGTCGCCCCCATGGGCGTTCTTGCTTCCCTTGTAGATTCTGGGATTTAGAACGAGGAGAGAATTATGTGCTGAGTCCAGAGGAGAAGTTCTGTTTCAAAAAAGGAGAGACTATAAACTGTGTCTCTTACTGTGAAGTCAAAGGTGAGATTTCTTGGGCTGGCATAAGGGAGAAAGAGAGCCAACCTCAAGCTTGGCTCTGTGGACTGCAAAATGATGATGGTGGCTAGTCAAAGACTGGTAACTCAATCATAAACTATGTCAAGTCATTTCAATCAAGTCAGGTAAGAATAAGAAAGTAACAATAAGGCTTTTCATCTCACAGGAAGGTCAAGGGGTTTAGTCAAAAGTGTGACCAACCTGGCTGTATGCAGTTGATCTTAGTTCCCTCCCAAAACCCCAAGGAAAAGAAAGTGTAGGAAACTTTAGACACATATATACATATGTGTAAATTATATGCATTATGTGTATATGTGTATACATACACACAGAGGACAGAAAGAATAGATGAGCCGGATCAGCATTTATTTTATGCCTGCTGAGTGCCACGTGCTAGTTGTAGCTTTGGGGGAGCAGATTGAACAGGCAGGTGGTCCCCTGCTCTCACGGAGACAGAGAAACCAGCACCAACACTCCCACCATCCACACTCACATATGCACACACTGTATCGCCAGGGTGTCATCCGTTTCTGCAAAGGAAGATACAGTGGGTGAGGGCTGGAGAGTTACCGGGTGGAGGACTGATGGGATGATATTTCAGAGGGGGTGGTCAGAGAAGGGAGCTTGCTGCTGTTCTTACCCCATTCAAGTCAATGACTGTGAACTCTGTTTTCATTTGTAGGTCTTCTGGCAGCCGGTACCGATAAAGGGAGAGTAGCCATGTGGAGAAAAGTGCCAGGCCCCCAGAGCAGCCGAGGAGTGGAGGGCAAAGACAAGTGGACCCTTCAAACCCCTACTGAGCTCGAAGGAAACATCGCACAGATAAAGGTACAACTGACCAAGGCGTTAGATGCACTCATTCTGTGTCCTGCAAAAGTGGAGGAAGTAATTGATTTTGAACCTATTTTTGTCAGTTATTCCACTTAAAAGACTATATAAAAATAAAGGCCTTTTGGAGTTCAGAATTGTAGATAAGGGATTGTGGATCGGTAGTAATTTATATCTGTTTTCTCTGTCTACCCATCCCTTTATAGCTATCTCTATTTTTTATCTATCTATCTATCTATCTATCTATCTATCTATCTATCTATCTATCTATCTATCTATCTATCTTAAAAACAGCTTTATTGAGATATATAACGTACCAAATAGTTTTCAGTATACTCACAGAGTTTTGCAACCATCACAATAAATTTTAGAACATTTTCGTCACCCCAGAAAGAAATCTCATACCTATTAGCAGCCACTCCCCATTTCCCCCTCCCCAGGTCCGTGCAGCCACTAATCAACTTTCTGTCTCCATGGATTTGCTTATTCTGGACATTCCATATAAGTGGAATCATACACAATATGCATGGATCTGAGATTTCTTTCACTGACCATTATGTTTTCAAGGTTCATCCATAGTATAGCATATGTCAGTCAGTATTTCATTCCTTTTCATGGCTGAGGAACATTCCGCTGTCTGAATAGACCACATTTTGTTATCCTTTCATCCTCTGATGGACATTTGGGTTGTTTCTACTTTTGGACTATTATGAATAATGCTGCTGTGAACATAGGTGTACAAGTTTCTGTGTTTCAATTTCTTTGGGGCATTTGATAATTTTTTTATAATTTGTCTCTGGTGAAACATTGTATCACACCTCCTTTACTTCTTTAAGCCTGGTTTCTTTTCATTCTTTCAGTATGTTTCTAGTTGCTACTTTGGAGTCTTTGTCAAGTCCAATATCTGGGCCCTCTCCGGGCAGTTTCTTTTTTTTTCCCCTTTGTGTGAGACATAGTCTGTTTTGCACGACACTTCATTTTTTTGTTGCAAGCTAGACATTTTAGTTAAAATAACTGTGTCACCTCTGGGATACTGTCCCTCATGCCCCTCTCACCTCCAGGGCTTGCCACTATTGTTTGTTTGTCTATTTGTTTAGTGACTGGCTGGCTGGACCACTGTAGTGGCGTCTCTTTGGCTTGCATTGTGAAGCCTCTGACATTACTCCTCAGAGAATGGGGGCACGAACACAGTCAACCTGGGACATCAGTGCTTTTAGGGGGGGGCTCCCCTGACTGTTCTTTCCCTGACCTCTCTGTTAAGCCTCCTGCCTCTGTCCAGTATCACAGGCCGTGTTAGGCCCCTCAGTTGTCAGCTCTATTGTTTTCTTCAACATCCTGGGGCATCAGTTGCTCCCCAGTCTGGTCCAGTTGAATCTGGGCAGGGCTGGGCTTTGAGTTCTGTGTCTGAGGTTTATTCTGACCCCAGGAGGGCTCCTCCTAGGTATCTTTGCCCCAGTTTTCTCCAGTAAACTGTTTGGCCTGCTGCTGAGCTTGTTGCTCTCACGAAGCTACCAGCCTCCTCTAAATGCTTACCACCAAAACCGCCACTGCTTTCAAGAGCATCCTTAGGCTTGAACTACCCACATTCCATTTGAATGAAGTCACTTCTTTTGGGGAAGTGTTTCAGAGCTCTCTGTTCTTAGGAAGGCCTCAGTTCTTCTCCGGAGTTTGGGCGTGGGGACAGTGGCCAGCTTCTCTTAAATAACACCCTGCTTTATGAGCTGGGTGCAGTAGCCTCTGGTCTTCTGGGCTTGCCTCTCCCAGCATGGAGCCTTTGCCTGTGAGCATGCTGGGCAAGGGCGTGGGGCCCAGTCTTCTCAGGCTACCACGCCTGTGAGCAGGGGCCGGTGGGAGGAGGGAGCCCCCACCTCCCTGCCCCACTGACCTTGAATCGGCTTCTGCAACACAGAGCTTGGGGGATGAGCAGTGCTGGAGGCTAGCTCCTCCCGTGACTGGACACGCTACAGCCCTGGACCGGGAGCTGGAAGAGGAGCCCATCTTGTTGGCCAGCTACCCAAGTGGAGCTTCAGTGATGCTGAGCTGGGGGGCAGAAGGGGGGTAGGGGAGTGGCTCCAGTGCCACAGACTCTGTTGTTCTTACCAGATTTAGTAGAATTTCTTGAATAAGTGCTTCTTCATTTGGTTTATGCCCAATTTCCAGATAATTCGATGGTGGTTTTTTATAATTTTCAGTTATGCTTGTTGGGTCCTTGGCCATTGTGGAAGTTGCCTCTCAGATCTGCTCTGTGTAAATCTTTAATTTAAAATTTACTTACTCCTATACTAATCAGGAAAGGAAAACTTACATAGTAAATAGTTCAGGGATACTTTGTAGCAATTTTGGAATTTACTTTCAGATCCCCTTCACAGATCATTTATAAAAATAGTTTCCAGGTGAATTAATGAGTTGATTATTTTACGAATTAAGACAGAATAACTGGCTAAAAATAGCATAGAATATTATCAGATCTGTAGAGAAAATATAACTTTCTCAGACTTGAGGTAATAAAAGCAGTTGTAAAAGCAGAGATTAACAAGCTTGAGTACATAAAAACTTATTTCATACTGGGCAATGGGGAACAAGACTAGAATTGAAGAAAAACTGAGCTGGGTATAAATATTCACTTTAAAGAGTGTAAAGGGTTAAACTCTAAAATACTGTATTTCCCAATTCTCAGTGCATATTCTTTTCTTCATTTTAGTATGAAGTTGACATATAACTCTTCCAGTTGATGTATACATTTAAAGTGTTCTTGTTTTTTTATGGGAGGAGAGATCTTTACACAGAAAGCTATTATTTTATTTTTTATTTTTATTTTATTTTAAGCTTTTTTTAATTGGGGAACAGCCATGGTCATTGGTTACACATTGCTTTCATGCTACAATAGCATAGTTGATTCTTTTAGGGAGGGCACAGCTCACAGTGGCCCATGTGGGGATGGAACCAGCGACCTCGGTTTTATCAGCACCACACTCTGACCAACTGAGCTAACCGGTCACCCCAGAAAGCTATTATTTTAAATATGTGACTTAATGTTTAGTGATACCTTAGAATAAAGGACATGAAGAAAACTCACATTTATAAGAAAAATACTAGCATGGGGCGGCGGATTGGTGGGGGGGGTTGTCACTTCGAGGGGTAAAAAGTATAACTATTGCACTGTGTTGTACAGCTGAAACTAATTCTAAAAAATGTGTATTTCATAATAAAAATAATTTAATTTTAAAAAAAGTGAATCCCATAGCACCAATCACTCAGACTCTCATAAACAACACACGGAAAGCGGGAATATTTATGGGAAAGGCATTTAACTTGAATTGATATGTTAGTTTCTGCCATGATGCTTTCTGATATAAGTCAACTTTGAGGTCTTAAAAAATAAACTGTTAATGGTGAGGGGACAAAAAAAAAATAGCATCTGGTTTACAAGTTCTCTATTACAAAAATAGGAAAAAAAATTTAAATATCAGGTGTTGGTTTAAATACAAATATAGTAACACTTAGAAAAATACCATAGACTTATTATGGTTCCATGTATGGTCAAAATAAATTGCCAACAAATGTCTTCAAAAAAAAAAAGAAAAATACTAGCAATTTCAATGGAAAAACTGATGGAGATAATTTATCTAAGAGTAGTTAGTAGAATACACATACATGAAAACATGTGTAATCCCCCCTGGTAATGAAAGAAATGCCATTTTAAAGAATAGTACAAGCAACACTAACTTTCTTAAAGGACATTAAAAAAAAAAAAAGCTAAATAAATGGTTAGATATTGTGTTCCTCAAAGAGAAGCCTTGATCTTGTAAAAGTGTCATTTCTTCCCAAATAAATCTACAAATTACATGTACATCCAGTAAAAATAATGACTTTTATTTTTCTGGGAGAATTCAACACAATAATTCTAAACCCATCTGGGAGAGCAAATGGCCAAGAAAAAAAATGTATAAACATCAGAACATTTCTGTATAATATACCAGACTATGTCTCAAAACTAACAGCTTTGTATAGATTTGGAAGTTTAATATGAAATTGTGAAAGTGGCATTTCATATCACCAGAGGAAAACCGAATCATTTAAGACATTGTGTACATTTGTTATGTATTTAAAAAAAAAATCCCTAAACGAACACCAGAAAAGTAAATTCTAAAAGATGGTCAACCAGTCAGAACAGACAGAAGCTAAAGCAGCCATATAGGTACCTACCTGCCGCATCATGAGTCAGTATTTAACATTTTTTCTACAAAGTGCACATTTTACACTCTCAAATTTTAAAAATAATTTTGTAACAACAAGAAGAAACAGTGCTTGGAAATTGTTTATGAGTCCTCATGGGTACCATGTTTTCCTCACTGTCTCTCTCCTCCTTTGTTAATATTCTTGGTGCTTTCTCTGCGACGTGGGCACGAAGTGGGGTTCCAGGAAGAACCTCCTGGCCGTGAACAACATCAGCTCGGTGGTGATCCTCAGCGAACAGGCCATGTCGTCGCACTTCCACCAACAAGTGGCTGTGGTGCAGCTTTCCCCGAGCGTACTCAGCGTGTCCTTCCTGTCCACGGGGGTGACGCACAGCCTGCGCACAGACATGCACATCAGCGGTGTGTTCGCCATCAAGGTGACTGTGAGGGTGATCCGTGCGGTCGGTTGGGGGTCTTCAGTGGAGAGGAAAGACCTGGTCAGTGGTTAGGGTCATTCAGACGGTAAGGGTTGCTTTTTAATTTTCATGATTTTTTTTTTTTAGGATGCTATCGCTGTCTGGAATGGAAAACAGGTGGCAATCTTTGAACCTTCTGGCACCACATTACGAAATGCAGGTGGGGAGTCTCTTCCCTCCAGCAGAGGGGACTCATAGCACCCTATTTTGTTTTCTCATCATCTGACGTAGGGGAGTGCTGGTGCATGTGGTGTGGGCAAAGGGCTGGCACAGGGCCATGGGGAGACTCTCGTGTCTGTTCTCATGCCTGTGCCTGTGTTGCCAGAGCCAGTGCTGCAGCTCTGGTCCTGAGCTGCCAGAACCTCTCGGGCCTCCCAGGCTGTACCTTTTGAAACCAGTCAAGGTAGTTGAAATGTACAGCCAGGTCTGGGCCAGCAAGCCTTCCTGGACAAAACTGCAGGAATGCAAACAACCACAGCTTTCCAAGGAACCGGCTTTTGAACTGGTTCCAGACCACACAGAGCAGTCAGCCCCAGAGCATCTTGACCAAGGCCAGCCTTTGTCTGCATATTTCAGGGTGGATTATCAGAGATGCGCCCTCATTGTCAAACACCCCTCTCCATCCCTTCAGTCCCTCCAGCCGTCCATTTCACAGGGCTGCCTTTATCCTCTGCCTCCAGCACACGCCTGGATGAGTTTCCTGGGGCTGCACAAACTGAGTGGCTTAAACAGAAACTTATTCTGTCACAGTTGTAGAAGTCAGAAGTCCAGAGTCGGTTTCACTGGACCAAAATCGAAGCGTCAGGAGGGCCACTCCCCCTTCAGAACTCTAGGGAAGAATGGGTTCTTTTCCTCTTCCAGCTTTTGGTGGCTCCTGGCAATCTTTGGCTTGGAGTCACATCATTCTAGCCTGTGCCTCCATTGTCACATTGCTCTGAAACCTACCTCCTTCTTCATCGGGACACTTGTGATTGTATTTAGGGCCCAGCAAGACAATACAAGATCGTCTCCCCATCTCAAGACCTTAATATCTTTGGCCATCTAAGCTCATGTTCACAGGTTCCAGGGATTAGGACCTGATGCCTTCGGGGGACATCTTCCAGCCTGCACAGGCACCATCAGGACATGCTCCTCAGCTAGTTCAGTTCTTACCTTCACCCCTCTTGACCTTGGCCCTGTCATCTCACAGGATGACTTGCCAGTACACTGCTCCAAGGGGAATCCCCCAACGTGTTCGTTTGAACACCTCACCCCCCCACCCCCCTGGAGATATTTCCATGGTCATCACTTCTCTCCCTCATTATTCCCTCTTTTTCTTTTCTTCTAATGCTTTGTTGCCTAAAGTTCTCTTATAACACTCTTCTTGCTCCGCCTTGTATTGTGCTGGTAATTCACATCTTCTGTCTTCTAGTGTAAACCCCCCTTAGGGACAAGGAGGAACTTTTTTTTTTTTAAGATTTTATTGGGGTATTGGAGAAGGGGAACAGCCAAGTTGTTGTCCTTCAGTCTCAGTTGTGGAGGGCGCAGGTAGCTCAGCTCCAAGTCCAGTCATCATCATCTGGCCGCCCGTTGGCAGCTCACAGCTGATCAGCTCAAGGTGCCATGTTCAATCTTAGTTGCGGGTGGGCGTAGCACACCATCCCATGCGGGAGTCAAACCAGCAACCTTGTTGTTAGGAGCACGTGCTCTCACCAGCTGAGCCATCCTGCCACCTGTTGGCAGCTCAGTGGCAGCTCAGCTCGGGCAAAGTTCAATGGCCCATGTGGGAATCGAACCGGCAACCCCATTGCTCAGAGCTCGTGCTCTTAACCAACTGAGCCATTCAGCCAGCCCCAAGGAGGAACTTATCTACCCAATAGGACAAGCGCAGCAGGTGCTGAGATATTTCCTGGGTTTTGTGTGTAATCATCTCCTTAACCAGATATGAACTTGTCTAGAGACAGACTCAGGCTTGTGGCTTCCGAAGCTCTATTGAAGATAACCAGAAGCTTGTTTAAACAACTGTGCCATCATAGGTGCTCTGCTGCCGGAAGCACCAGCTGCCACATGGGAGCAAAGAGACATCATTAATGATTGATGCAGGGCAGGGAGCCCAGCACTGAGTCCCCACACCAGGCCCAGAGCCTACACAGCTGTCACTGCCAGCTGTGGCCTCGGGCAGTTCCCTGCACCTTGGAGCTTTGCTTTCTTCATCTGCAAGGTGCAAAAAAACGCATCCCTCACAACACTGTTGTAATGGCAAAGGCGAATTAGGGAGCATGCATAAGAATGCTTCTTAAACTCTGAGGAAGTGTGAAAAGGTTAGCTGCTGCTGTTGTGATGTTTATCTTTCATTTTAGGTACTTTCCTGTGTGAGTCTCCAGTGTTAGCGATGCATGAAGAAAATGTTTACACGGTGGAGCTAAACCGAGTTCAAGTTCGAACCTGGCAGGTAAATTGCTGCTCTAGAGCGAGTGGGCTGTGATGATAAAAGACAATGAGAGCAGAGTTAAAAGTGCCGTCTGACTCGAATCCAAGCCCGCTGATAGCCTTTACCCAGCCAGGTCAGATTCCCGCCACCAGGAGCGGCGTGGCTGTAAAATGGATTCTGGGATGGCTCCTCCATCCCTGACTTTTGTGACTTCAGAAATCAGGACGCAGGACAAGGGCCTTTTGTAGTGGCAAGGACTCGATCACTGAACCCTGAACACGTGGGTTGTGAAACGGGAGGACGTGTGCGCGACAGAATATCTGTGGACAGGCCTTTCTCTGTGGGTGTCTGAGGGGGAGGCCAGGATGGAAGCAGTGCGTGCCTTCAAGATGACAGGTCTCCAGCACGCTCTCCTGTTCTCTCCTGGTGGCGTAGAGTAAAGAAGCCCTTGCCTGTTCGCATCCCTCACACATTTGCTGGAACCCAGGCGCCAATGTGGTGCATTAGTTTCCTGAGCCTGCTGTAACAAATTACCACAAACTGAGTGGCTTAAAACAACAGAAATTTATTTTCTTATAGTTAAAGAGGCCAGAAGTCCAAAATCCAGGTGTGGGCAGGGTTGGCTCCCCCTGAGTCTCTGAGGGAAAATGCATCAAGTGCCTCTTTCAGCTTCTGGTGGCTGCTGACAGTCCTCGGCGCTCCTGGGCCACATCCTCGTCTCATGGTCCTCTCCCCGTGTCTTCTCTTCTGTGTCTGATAAGGCCACTTGTCCTTGGAGTTAGGGTCCCCCCCCCCATCATCCAGGAACGGTCTCCTGTTGAGATCCTTAACATCTGCAAAGACCCTTTTTCCAAATGATGTCACATTCACAGGTTCCAGGTGGACATATTTTTTGGCGGCCGCCATTCAACCCAGTACGCGCAGTGGAATTTTGTGTCAAGGTCAAAAATACCTATCCTGGCACTGGTTTTAGCTCAGTCCAACCGCTTTGTGTAGCTCTCAGTTCTTTCTTGGGATCTGGCGTTTGATTTCTGGGTCGTTGGTGTCCCTCTCCTTATCCCTCTCGCGCTGCCCGTCCACTCCTCCATTTCAGCAGTGCCTGCGGGAGCTTCTGTGGAGTTCTCCATTCTAGTGGGGTTCAGACAATGAAAGAGCACACTCAAGTAAGAGGGGGATGGAAAATACATGGGAGTAGAGGCCTGACATGGGGCCCACAGCCCCACATGCCCTCCTGGGGGAAAGTGCAGACTCAGCTGCCTGCCCATGCCTTAAGGTCAGAGGGGAAGCAAAGAGGCTGGAGGGAAGGAGGCTAGAGTCCAGCGGGGCACCCCATGCAAAGAAAGCTCGCCTACCTTGTAAGATGGTTATGTAAGAGGCATCTGCCATGGACATAAAGCTTAGGCAGAGAGGGGCCATAGTCTTATACAGATGAAGGGGTCAGCTGTGTCAGCAGAGAGACGACCTGTGGGGCACTGGAGGGCTGGAGGGCAAACGGCATGCTGGGAAGGGGCTATTCGCATACTGGGAAAGAGTGCACGGCCTGCTGCAGAAGGGCCAAAGGCATCCTGGGAAAAAGCAAGGGCCTTTTGGGAAGGGGAGAACAGCCTGCTGGGAAAGGGTGGAAAGCACACTGGGAAAGGGCCAGTGCCTGTTAGGAAGGGGCAAATGGTCTGCTGGGAAACATGGAGGCAACTAAGGCGCCTCGCCTGCTGAGCTTGGAGGGCATCTCACAACAGATGTCCTGGAGCTGGGCGGTTTTTGTTGTTAATTTTTTAACTAAAAGGTGTATATGTCCATTGTAACTAATAATATAATGCCAGTGTATGAGGAAAGGTTAGTGACTCTCTCCCGTTTTGAAAGCCTGGGCCGTGTCTTTCCTGACCTTTCTCCCCACCTGTGCGGACGTAGACACACAAACCATGGTGGTGGTTGCTCATTTGTGTTCACAGCGAGGCAATACTGCACCACTGTCGTGCACCTTCCAATTCTCTAACGGGCCCTCTTTCTAGGTTGGAACGTACAGCCCCACTTGTTCCCAGGGCTTTGTGCAGTGAGTGGCCTGGGGCAAAGAGCAGTGCCTGGCACCAGGGGAGGGTTTGTTTATGCAGAGGCTTGAGCTGAGGAAGGGGCTGGTGTCTGACAGATGCTGGTGGACACTGAAGCCGAGGGGAGAGCAGAGAAGTGGGGGATGTGGCAGGAGGGCCCGGACTGACGGCCCTCACCCTGAAAATAGTGGGGGTTGTGAAGCTCTGAGGGACAGGCTGCGTTTGGGCTTTTTTTTCCTCTTGGGTTTATGTTGTTTATCTCTTAGAAGATAACTTCTGGGTCAGTGTAGTGGGAAAGACTAAGGGAGCTGGCAAACAGTGAAGTCAGGTAGGAGGTGCCACAGGTGAGAGGTCTGAGGCCCTGAAACCAGTCAGCGGGCTGGGAGCCGAGGCCCGAACAGGAAGGGAGGGACCAGTTGGTAGTTGAGTGGGGTTGATGAAGGAGGAATTGAAGGTGTCCTGAGTTTTCTAGTTTGGGAATCTGGGTTGATCGTGGTGCCTTAAGATAGAAACTACAGAAGCAGCGCAGGTTTGGGGCAACAAGGCGCGAGTCTGATGCGCCTTGGACACACTTCCGAGATGTCCAAGGGCAAGTTAGAAATATAGGTTCTAGAGGTCAGGAGCCAGGTCAGTGCTGTAAAGCAGTAAATTTGGGAACTTGGAATGCATGGACGTAAAGATGGTAGCTGAAGAGATGTAGAAGCAAGATGAGTTCAACTTTGCGCCCTGGGCGACCCAGTGTTTAAGGAGCAGGCAGAGAAAGAGGCTGAGCAAAGGAGGCTGAGCCCCATCTTGTTGTCACAGATGGGGTCGCCCTTGGCCCAATCAGCAGTCTCCCATGACTCATCTGGATCCTGCGTTCAGGCAGCTGTTTGCTTGGTCCACAAGTGTATATTAAGCTCCTGCTAGATGCATCAAAATGGAAGTTAGATTCCTCAGTTTGGAATTCCTCTTCCACTGCTCCCCCCCGCCCTGGCCCCCGCTCCCCGAGTTTCCTAGGCAGGTTGCGCAGGTTCCTGCCTCCTCACCTGCTCTCGGAGTCTCTCTGTTGAGCATCATGAGCCAACTAAGTTCTGTTGGCATGTACCCCATCATCCAGCCTGCCTCCTCACTCGTCTGTGCACTGGAACTACGAGTGTGCATCCACTGCTGCCTGGGCTCGGCCCCACGGTGCCCTCGGTTCTGCCCTTCTGACTTGCTGCCCCTATTTGAAGCTCCCGGAGACATGCCGCTCACTGTGCAGTGCTCAGCTCCCAACCCAGTGCCATGCAGGGTGCAGGCCTTCCTCCACTGGACGTTGGTTAAATGGAGCCAGGAGCCTCTATCCACTCAGAGGAGTAAGGTCAGCCGTGTACAAGACATGCTGCAGAGCCTAAGCTGTGCCCAGGTGACTGTGGTCACTCTTTCCAAAGTGTTGATAAGATTGACATTTTTAAATGACATTTACAAATTTAAAAGAAAACTTTATTGGGGAACAGTGTGTTATTTCAGGACCCATCAGCTCCCAAGTCAGGTACTTGTTTCAATCTAGTTGTGGAGGGCACAGCTCACTTGCCCATGTGGGGATCGAACTGGCAACCTTGGTGTTATGAGCACTGTGCTCTAACCAACTGAGCTAACCGGCTGCCCCTACAAAGTTGTTTTTAAATATAATTGATATGAAATTACTTCATGGCTCAAAACCCTTCAGTCTTCTAGCTTCATTCTGAACAAAATCTGACTCTACATCTTTACCGGACCCTGCCTGCACCAGCACTGCCCCACGTGGCCTTTGCTTGCCCACACCCTCGATGCATGCCCCTCTCCCCATGACACATCCCTTCCCGCTGCAGGGGCCTCGTGGTTCCTAGACCCAGAGCAGCTCCACCCAGCTCCAGCACGTGCCTCCGCCTCTTCCTGGAATGCTGGCCTGTGGCTCCCCAGACAGCTGGCCCCTTCTCCCCATTCTCCGTTTAAATAGTGCCTCCAGACAAGGCCTATTTCTCAAACATTTTTGTGAAGCATGATATATGTACAGGAAAGCAGACGTGTCTTGAAATCATTCGTACAATTCAGGGTGTTTCCCCAAATGGAACCTACCCGGGATGTGACTGCCATCCCTTCCACTCACTGACCTCCCCACCCAAGGGCGCCCTTGTGTGTCGCTAGCAGTAGAGTCAATATTATCAGGCTTTAACGTAGGACCTCTGCAGACAAGGCCTCCTGGATCAACCCAGGCAGATGGAACTGACCATCTCACTGCCCTTGGCACTTTCTTGTTTCAGCATCCTCACTGTTACCTCACTAACGCTGTCTCAGGTTGAGGTTATACCCGTATTTGCTCATTGACCCAGCTGCTGTCTGTCTTCCCTTCAGGACTGTAAGCATGAGGGATCCCCGAGGGCAGGGCCCCATCTTCTGTGTCGTGTTGGAATCCCTCAGGATACTGGTCACACACTGAGCCACCAGGAAACACTGAGTACATGAGTGGAGCACACGAGATTCTCTGTGAATAACGTTAAGTCACAGAAGTGAAACGCTACACAAGCTGCTTTTCTGAATTTCTTGTCCTTTCCTTGTCCTCAGGGTACTGTGAAACAGCTCTTGCCGTTTTCCGAGACGGAGGGGAACCCATGCTTCTTTGACATCTGTGGAAATTTCCTGGTTGTAGGGACGGACTTGGCTCACTTTAAAAGCTTCGATCTTTCCCGAAGGTACAATTTTTGTCCATATGAAAGTATTACATTGTCACGTCCAGCGTGGCAAGGGCAAACGGGTTTCTCTTGAGGGGCGGCGTAGATTGAATAAAGAGTCAGAGACAGAAGTAAAGTTTAAGAGGGAGACCAAGGGACTCAGTCAGAGAAACTGAGCAAGCCCAAGGGACTCATTCAGAGAATCTGAGCGAGCCCCGAATCGGGTCTGTGCATCGCTTTAATTGAGAATTTTCAAAGAAGTAAGACTGTTGTCAATCAAATTAGCATCAGTTTGAGGCCTGTGCTTCAAAGCCTTTTTCCTTTAACATATCCATTATGTTCCAGCAAATGCTATGCCTTCGCATATCCGCATGCCTTCGCATATCCTCCGCCTAGCCCCTAGGACGCCTGATTACTGTGTCCTCCCAAGAGGAGATTAACTGTTTGCATTTCAACAGGTCCCAATCACACCTTGAGACACTCCTCAGAGGGAGCCTTATCGGCCTCGGTCATACCGGGGCACCCCCTCAGAGAGAATTCAGCTTTCCAGTCATACTGGGGCTTTTCTCTTATCTAATGGGAAAAGAGGCTAAATGCGGGGGGGGGGCATGTTAATAGAAATCGGCTTCAGGCAACATTACATTTTAAAAATGAGTAGATACTGTGATGAGTAGAAAATGCATAGGCACTAGAAAACGCTCTGTGTTCTCATTTCAATAGTCACACGCCACTTAATTTTTTGAAACACCTTGTATCTTGGCTGGAATTGTTAATCTTTGCATGATGGGGAAGGGAGGAGGGCTTGCACAGGTGATGCTCGGGGATTTCTTAGGGTGATGAAACTTCTATGTGATAGATACACAACACTGCATTTGTCAAAACCCATAGAACTTTACAGCACGAAGTGAGCCTTAGTGTGTGCAAATTTTTAAAAAATCTCTTAGGTTGGGGGATCCCGGGATGGAATACAGAAGGCAACAAAACAACCTACCTGTATTATAAATGTGTGAAACCAGCTCCCTGGAGGGGGTGTGGCTGATCTAAGTCACTTTGGGAATGGGTGGCGACTATAAGACTAAAGACACAGGGAATGCACACAGCACGGCCCTCCAGCTGACAGAGACAGTTCCCACAAGGGAACAGGGTGACAATCCCATAGGTACCCTGGGAGTGAACAATGAGGGTGGTGGAGCTGGGTCCTCACTGCTGGGAGTTTGCAGACAAATGGGAGGAGGTGAGCGTGACCCCTGCGGTGATGGAGATAGGAGTTTAAGGTCATGTTTAGCTTAGTGTGGCTACAGATGGATATATACGAAGACATTTACAGATAAGTCTACATACACACCAGTTAGCGCACACACATTGCCTTGTTCTGCCAGCTGAGGGCCTGGAGGCCAGGACACCCCCAGAGCAACCGGCATACCAGTACCCACCCTGGGGTTTCTAACAGCATCTCCAAAAAATGGAACCAAGGTCCTTGGAGAAATGGCTGATTCTAGGACTGAGGCAGGAAATGTACCAGATGATCCTGGAGCAGAATACAATGACGGGGTATGTCAAAGGGACACAGGAGCCAACTGAAAGAGCTCCCAGGGGCCAAAGCTGAAACAATTTGAGCAACAAAATAAGTAAAATAACATTGTTATAACCCAGAGTAGCAAGTAAATATCTGTGAGTTCATACTGATAGAAATGAGTGATTGAATAAGTTAATAGAGAAGAGACAAATCTGTACAAAAGAATTACAAATAATTTATGTAGAGCCTCCTCCCTTGAGGAAGGGAGCAGACCTCCCCACTCTGTAAATGTGGGCTGCACATGGTGACATCCTTCCAAAGGGGACAGTATAGGGAGGGGGGAAAGGAGTGACTTTATAGATATGACTCCAGACAAGAGAGACCAAAGTCAACATCACAGAGATGAGTCTTGTCAATGGCACAGACCCTTGATATGACGTGATGACAGTGACACTGTGCCTCTGGGGTTTCCTCAAACCCATACCCCACTCTAATCTTGAGAAAACCATCAGAAACATCCCAGAGGGGGGACACTCTACAGAACAGTTGACCAGTCCTCAAAACTGGTGAGGCATCAAAACCAGGAGAGTCTGAGACAGGATCCCAGTGGTAGCCGCAGGAGATGTAACCACCAAACGTCATGTGGATCCTGGGACAGGGAGAGCGTCTTAGGAACTGAGAAAAGGTGAAAAAAGTAAAAAAAAAAAAATCATGATGAGTTACCACTACAAACCCAGTATCGTTTCTATTGGTAGCAGAGAAGAACCAGCTAACCGGGAGGAATTAAATACATTTTAGTTCATCATGATATGCAGAACTATGCAACTGTTATAAATGTAATGAAGCAACCGTTCTGAAAGGAAAGAGCACAGACCCACCTCAAGGGGAAATACAAGGGCGGAGCAGCATTCTTAAAAAGCTACTTTGTGTAAGAAGAGGGGGAAGAGGATGCATATTCATAGTTGCTCAGAAGGAGCGAAGAACTTTTAAGAACTTTAAACTCTCACCCTATATTTTGAGCCTGGTGGGTTTCCCCGGAACACAGAGAAGCCCAGGGTGAGAGCAGCTGGGCCGCTGGGGAACTCTGAGTTCTGTGAGCCGAGGTTTCGGCTCATTCGGAGAAGCGGATCCCTGCTCTGCACCGTGAGCCTTGGGTTTGCACTGAGGTCCTTGTCCTCCTCCCTGCAGAGAGGCGAAGGTGCACTGCAGCTGCAAGAACCTGGCGGAGCTGGTCCCTGGAGCCGGGGGCATTGCGTCCCTCAGATGTAACGCCAACGGCAACAAAATAAGCATCCTCCTCAGCAAGGTGGGTACCGCAGGGGGCCTGCCTCTGCTCCTCCTCTCCAGACTCCTGTCTCTGTTACTCGCTGCCTCTGGAGGCCACTCTGTGCGGCTCTTTTGTGTCCCAGCTCCCCTTGCCCTTCCTTCCTCTTCTGTCCCCTCTCCAGGGCTTCCCCTCCTGACCCCACCTGTGTTCTCCCCTGCCTGGTGCGTCCTCACCTGCACAGCTTCTGTCTTGTCCTGTCTCTCTTCATTGCTTATTTAATCAGAAACAGTGGGTTCTTTGCAGAGAAGAAGAAACCACTTCTCTTTTCTGTCTCTTCTCATTGCCCAACTAAATTCTCCGCCCAACGGGTAACAGGACAGTTGAAGGCACCTTTGAGCCTCTCACGTGGAGATGGAGTGACGTCATGCTGTAGGTGGCCGCATGGCGGGTCTGAAGGGAAGGTGACTGAGAGCATGTTCACCCTGTTCTAGGATTTTTTGGTGTTTTCATTCATGTGTTCATTTATTTAAGAGTTGATTATGGAATGGCTTCCGTGTACCAGGCACTTTGCTGGGCACTGCAGATACAAACTCAGTGAAACAAGAGGACTCGGTCACTTCCCTGTGGACAGACATTGATCAAAGAATGAGCCAAAAGTACATTTTTATAACCCTGGTGAGAGCTAGGAGGACAGTGAGCAGTGCCAGGACAGAGAGTAACAGGGCGGAGTCGGGGTCCAGGGAGGTCGGGAGCCTCCCAGACAAGGTGAGGGTTGAGCCAAGCTGTGAGAGCACCGTGGGGGCGCAGCCTGGTCGAGGCACCAGAAGGTGAGTCCATCGGCAGAAGTGTGGTCTTGCTGAGGGTCAACTGTCACAGGGCGAAGCCGAGGCCGGCATGGTCACTGGGCCATCACATGAGCTGACCCTGACATGGGTGGAGGCAGGAGTGTGGTCTTTCTAGAGATGTTTCTAAATGGTGGGTAAGGAACCCAGGGTGCCGAGGTCCCCTTGGCACCCTCCCAGCCATCCCCAATGTGTGGGGGTTGATTGGCTGTGGGGCAGGGGAGGGCAGAAGCTGGTTGTAACACTCGAAGCTGGCCACGGAGCCATTTGCAGGGATGGTGGGGGGTCCTGTTTCAGTGTGCTGAGCTTGAGGCATCTGAGAGGCAGCAGGTGGGCAGTTAAAAAATACAATCCTGGGTCTCTGAAGGGCAGTCTGGCGGGAGAAGGGCAGTCTGGCGGGAGGAAGAGAGTAGCTGCTTACAGCCCGAGGACCACGATGGGACCTGGGGAGGCCGAGGGAGTGGCAGGTTGGGGTGGTGGGGACGGCCGAGGAGATGGGGAAGGTCAGTCAAGCATCACATGCCGGGAGATCACATGTCACTCGTTTGTTCAGTATCTGGGCCAGTGCCAGGATATCCAAACACAGGAACAGAAGCGGGGTCCACAGGCTGTGGGGAGGGCCATTTCCATGGTGCTGGGGTGAGGAGTGGGGACAGTGCAGTGACCACTCACTCTGGAGACCTGACTCTTAAGAGCAGAGTGAGATTGAGGGAGGTTAATGGCTGATGAGAAGAGATAGAAGAGAAGGCAGCGTGAAGGTCCAGGGAGAGAAAATGGGGGCAGCACAGGCTGGAAGGGGGGGCAGCAGGAGCAGGCAATACCTGCCTGTGGTAAAAGCAAAAATAAAAAAAAGGGGGGCCTACAGTGAAAAGTAGCCCCCATTGGCAGTTCCTAGGGGGAGGGTAGTCGGCTTTGGATAGGAAAGGTGGCAGAGAGGGAAGCAGGAGGCAGGTTGGGGTGGATGCAGCCCCCCCCCCCAATTCCAACAGGCGGGGTCCAGGGTCTAGAGAGTGAACGCTGAACTGGGGAGAGGAGCTGTGCTCATCCTGTGTGTCTCAGATGCTGCCCCCCTTTCGTCGTTTGTTTTCCATTTTGCCGTGGAATTGTGACGACGAGAAACCTATATTTTTATGTAGTCAAACCTACTGATGATTTTAACTTGAGATTTCCCCCCTGCTCTTAAGCTTGCAATATCTTCTTTAGTCTAAAATTTTGGCCAATTTTCAATGTATTGCCTTTCTTTTCTAAAGTTCTCATGTCCCATTTACCATTTCAATATCTCCTAAAATAAAGCTTCTGACAGTCTACCTAAGCTCTTGGCATTTGTGGCCCCTAGAAACCAAGCGGGTTCCCCTTTCTCGGTTTCTTTTGTATGTGCACACGCACACCTTTCTTGTGCGAGGACCCAGAAGAAAGAAGAGATGATGGCGATGGTGGTGGCAGTCACAGTAGCAGCTGTGGCTTCTGGCACCTAACACTTTCTATTTGATGAATGAGGGGACTGAGATACGTTCCTTGGGGCTGAGATCCCTGCTCGCAGCCCTGACGGATGGACGGCAGAGTGGCCAGGACTCGGGAAGAATGAACAAGAGAGACAGACGCCTGTGGGGTTGGCCGAATAAAAGAAAATGTATGCAGGGAGTGGGGGGAGTGAGAACTCAGAACCCAGAGCCCTTGGGAGATGCCCCGAGGGCGGGCAGCCTCTGCACGCAGAACTTTTCTCAGCCGCCCAAACCGCCCCCAGGCAGCTGAATCAGAACTGGTTTATCAAAATCCAGATTCCACCTTGTTCCGGTGGTTAATCCACCTCAGCTAAGGTGACATGGCTCGCAAGTCAGTATCGAGAACAGCTAGACAGCTGTAGTTGACCTTCACAGTTTTTCAGGGCTGTTTTCAATGCTCGGAAATGATAAAGTAGCAATTCAGCAACCAGTCAGTGGGATAAAGGTAAACTCATGTTCAAATTCTGAATGCTGGAAGGACACCGGCCAGAGTGGCCTGTGGGTCACTGGCACCGCAATGTGTTTTCTTGGTTGTGCGGTCACCATGAGCTTCCTGTTTTCTCTTCCCCTAGGCTGACAACAGCCCCGATTCAAAAATCTGCTTCTATGATGTGGACACGGACACGGTAACCATCTTCGACTTCAAGACAGGACAGATTGATTGGAAAGAGACATTGTCCTTTGTTGGGCAGGAAACTAAGAAGTAAGATTGTGGTTTGGGAGGATTTTATTGGAAAAAAAACTGTTGAAAATGTTATTCAGTTACTTGTTAACTTCTAGGCAGGTTGTGCTAAGTTATACTTCAGTCTTCAAAAGACCCCAGCAATTATAGTGAAGCAGAAACACACTTAGGCATTTGGGATAGATTTGGGTCCTTCATCTGTTTTCTAGGTTCTGAGGTTCTAGAATTAGGTTCCGAGGTGTCTCCAGAAATGGCCCGAAATCACATGATAGAAATGCAATGAACCTCAGACTCATCAGCATCTCTGATGGCAGGGAGGGTGTGTCTTGTAGAAAATGTATTTCTAGAAAAAATAATTGTCTTTCTTCAGGGAGTTCATGTAACGTATATTTGGAGTTCCTTCTACTACTAAGAAAATAGTCATAGAATTTCAGTGCTTTTACTGGCTCTCGTGGTTAGATCAGCTGCGTGGTCAACGCTCAGATGGGTGTGTAAGCCCCAAAAGCGAATGCAGAGGCGAGAAGCCCGCAGGCTGATGGTTCAGGGGAGAGCGGGCTTCTCAGGAATGGCCTAGCCCGTGCCTTTCTCTGGCTGCCCTGTTCCTTTTGCTCCTGTCATAGCCCCCTCCTTCCCCTGTCCTGCCTGCCCCTCACGCTCCCACCTCTCTTCTCAGAATCCCTTTCTGGAACCTTCTTTCACCTGGTGACTTACACTCACACCTACTAAACATGCTCATCTTCACTTCTCACCAAATTTGGCTCCTCTTCTCCATCTCCAAATGTCCTTGGAGTTTCTTGCCGCCACCTCAGAAATAGACTCCAACTCTGCCTCACTCCCCAGAGACCCTGTTTTTGTCCATAGCACCACTTTCCTGGGTCACCTGGTCCAAAACCTCAGAACTAACCGTTCCTTTAACCCCCACTCTCCATGACTCTAATTCCTGGGTGTTCTTGTTTTAAAATGTCTCTGAGTCATGTTTTCCGTCTGACTCTCTGCCTGCCGATCATGCTTCCCTCCCAGGAGCTGCAGTAGTGTCGGGGCCACGTCCTTGTGTCTGAGCACCACTCACCAGGCTAGTCCTGAGGTGCCCCTGGTGCTCCATGGGTCCCGAGAAACGCTTTGGTTTGTACCACCATTGGTCTACCTGCCCTGCTTTCTGCTCGGTCCTGGAACTGTGACATCTGTGAGGGCCACTGGTTTCTCATAGGGTCAGATCCCCCTGCTCCTGCATGGCCCACACGGGCCCAAGGAGCCCATCCCTGACTTGTCATTGCTCCTTCAGGTGGCAGTCAAGTGAGACTCATTGTCTTCCATCAGGCACCTGCCTTCTTTTAATCTCTGATCCATTCTTTGCCTCCCAACCCATTTTGTCTCCCTGAAGTTCTTCGTCTCATTCTGGGCCCGTAAATCATGGAGATTTAGAGGTGGGAGGGACCACACATGTCAAAGCTGAGACCGGAAACCAGGCCCGGAAACTGCCTAGGAGGGGGTGCTGTCCTACCCCGAGGTCCACCTGCTGGTCCTGGACTTGGGGGCTTACATCAGAGACCCTCCTCAGGACCTCGGGAGCAAAAGCCACCTCATCTGTCTCTCTCCAGCTAGACTCCACTGGGGCTCTTAGAACCAATTTTTTTAAATCGGAAAGAATACAATCAGACAGGCTGCATCGCAGCACGTTGTGGGAAGGTGCACCTGAGTTGGGCAGCCTGGAACTCAGACATGGCCTCCTGACGCCGATGGGAGACCTGACTGAAGGTGTTTCCGGAGGCTGAAAACAGGAACTCAGTGTTCTGAACGGGTCTCTCTTTCAGGAACCTTGCCTTTTCGGATGAGAGCCTGGCTCATCACGTGCCCAGGAGCCACTTCTGGGATCAGAGTGATCCCAGGCTGTTTGTGTGCGAGGTCGTGCAGGAGGTCCCAGGAGCCCAGCTGCAGCCCGCAGACAGGAAGGTCCACGCCGAGGACAGCGCTGGCCCCACGGTACTGCACGGACGCATCGATGTTCAGACTCACGGGGACTTTAGACGTGTGGGCTCACAATCTTGGTAACAAAGTTTATGGGAAAGCTACAGGGAAATTCATTCACATGGAGCAGAGGTTTTCCCTGCAGGATGCCTGGGTCCGTCTCCCCTCCGGGTACACACCAGGGGGCCAGCCCTACCCTTTCTGTCTGGTTGGACTCAGGGTCATACCCTGTGCTTTATCTCATCTGGCACCGGCTGTTTTCTCTTGAGGACGGAGCTCTTTATTGAAACAGTTTATACAAATTAATTCCTTGACGTTAGCACATCCTGTGACTGAGGCACTGAGTCAGGATGCCAACTCCTCATTCATTCCACAACATGCCATTACCCTCAGAGAAGGCTGACTCCCACCGAAGTGGCCTCCTCGCCTCAGTCACCACTCTCAGCTCTTGCCACCCCACGCCCCAGGCTCCGCAGGGCCTCCCTCCCCCATAGTGATGACTTTCAGGGCTCCATTCCCCCCACCCCAGGGGCCAGGACCCTGACACTTTCCAAGTCTTATGTCTTGTGGGATGTCTAGAATTCCCTGGGAAAATCTAGTGGTCTGCTGTGCTTCTCTCTACCCCGTCTTATTCCAAGAGAATTTATATGTAGGGTCCTCAGTAAATCAGCAAAGGACAGCAGCCCTCTAACTTTGGGACACTTATCTCCCTGCCCAAGGAATTTCACGTCCAGGACGGTAAGAGTTTGGACTCCCTGAGATTATCAACAACCAGTGTCCATACCCTGAGATTTTTCTGAAGCAAATCCAATCCTTGGTTCTGACACACTGAGTGGTAAAATGTACTGAGGTGGTGCCTGTGTCATTGGATTGAGGGAAGTGAAGACATAGCCTGGGGAATTTTCTTTAAGATAGAGGGCTGGGTGACAAGTCTAGACAAGACATAAGAATGTGCAAATGGATAATGAGTGAAAGATGAGAGAGTGTATGTGTGAAGGCCGCTTCTTGGAAGTTTGATCAGATAGCGCTTTTGGTCCTTTATGAAGATGATGAGGAATTATAAGAATCCACACAGCAAGGAAAGGCTCTGCCCCCCCCCTGCCACCTCCGACCCCCCTTCTAAAGAGGCTGCGGCCTGTTGTTGCTGTTTGTGAATCCCCAGGGACAGGGTCCACAGAGTCCCTTGCCTGTTCTCTTTTATTCCTTGTTCCTCAAAGCAGAGGCAAGAATCTTTTTGTCATCGTTGCTCTGAGTGGTGTATATATATATCTATCTATCTATAGATAGATAGATAGATAGATAGATAGATAGATAGATAGATAGATTTTTTTTTTAAGATTTTTATTGGGGAATTGGGGGAAGGGGAACAGACAAGTTGCTGTCCTTTTGTTCTTCAGTCTAGTTGTGGAGGACGTTG